GCCTCGTTTGTGCGGGGGTGGGGCGGTGGTGTGGCTGCCATTTTAGCCCCGATAAACAGGCATGAAGGTGGGGTGGGGGTCGGGGGGGGGGGGCGGCGCGCTGTGCCCGCTCCTGCGCCTGCTCCGCATCCTGCATTCTGCGGACAGGTGTGACATCACATCTTGAAAGGCGCCAGTCCGTAGGCTGCGGCTGGCCCAGTGCGGGAGTCCCTGGCCTCCTGGCCAGAGGGAGCCTGTGTCCCCGTTAAGGTCCAAAAGCCCAGCTTTTGTGGCTGCCGGGCAGCTAGGGGGTCAGGTGGGTCTGTACCCTGGGTGAGGCAGGTGTTTCCAGTTGAGACTTGTCTCGGTTTCCCAATCCCAATCGTTCTGTCATCGTGTGGGTTGGTTGGGAAAACTGGGCTGAGGGGTTGGTCCTGGGAACCTGCAGGGACTCAGGTTAGAGCCTATGGAAGTGAGGTTGGTCCAGAAAGGAGCACTTGAGCGAATGCTTGCTGAGAGTCTGCTTGTCTGAGAGTGGCAGCATTTCCGTGATTAGGTCTTTGATCTTCAGTCCTGGCCCTAATGAATGGATGAGTGAATGAATGACCTTCCTCTTCTAGGGGGGTGAGGGGCTGGAACTGGGAGATAGATGCTTCCTTGCTCAGTGAAGGAAAAGCCTGGCAAGGTTCTTGATAGCACGCTGCTTTTCAAGTTGGGCCTTGACAGTTCTATGATATCAAATTTAGTGAAAATTGGCCTTCCTGGGAGAAAAGCCTTTGGGTCAGACTCAAGAATGTGGGATTGAGGGAGGTAAGTCACAGCCCCCAGGGACTGGTCTGGCCTGGTCTGGGCCTCCTCTGGAAGGTCTGGTCTTTGGCTTAAGTGACCTCGCCCTGCCCCACCCTAGCTGGCAGTTGGAGAGGCTGGCCCTCTGTGCAGGTACTCGGAGAGTTTGAACTCCAAACAGTGTCTGTTGACTGTAAACACCTGTAGGGTGCAGATTGGGGTGGCCAGTTGTCTGTCTTGGTGACCTCCCCTTGCCTGGGCCTGTCAGGTGCTTCTAAGAGCCCTGTTCTTCCCACATGGTTGGCTTAAGGGATCATTTGTGGTGGGAGATGTGGTCTAGACTTCTCCTTTCCCCTCCCAGCCCATGCCTGTTCTCCCCACACTTTAGGGCTCCTTAGAGAAGGTTGCCAAGCATTTCGTACTGCTCTTTGCCCTAGAATGTGTCCATAGGTTCCCCTATTTTGGCCACCTGTGATGACTTGTGGTTGTCACTCATTCATACACATATCTAGCAAATCTTTTTTTTTTTTTTTTTTTTTTTTTTTCTCGAGACAGGGTTTCTCTGTGGCTTTGGAGCCTGTCCTGGAACTAGCTCTTGTAGACCAGGCTGGTCTCGAACTCACAGAGATCCACCTGCCTCTGCCTCCCGAGTGCTGGGATTAAAGGTGTGCGCCACCATCGCCCGGCTAGCAAATCTTTCTTGAGTTCTTACTGTGAACAAAACAATATCCCTGACCATGTGGAGCTCATGTTCTGCTGTTTTTCTGCACTCAGCTCCCTGAACCTCTTCTGTCGAGACCTTTCATGTGCCGCATCTGGCCAACAGGTGTCTCTGCACTATTGAAAACTGTATATTTGCTGGACTAGGCTTTTTCCTTCCTGACCCTAACTTCTGGGGATTGGAACCTACATGCTACCAGTCCCATTCCTTCACACAAGATTCTCACAGTCCTCTGGGGCTTAGGCTCTTATTGGCCACTTGAATCACCTTCTGATTTCATTTTCTCCTTCCAAGCTTGCTATTTAATAGCACATCTTTGTCCTGCCACCACCTAAAGAAATCTCTCTGGCCTCAGTGTTGCTGCTGGGAAGACTCAAAGCCTAGTCTCAGTGACTGGCTCATGGCCTCTCTTGGACCTCATGAACCAAGTTTAAAGACCATTGTTCTTTTAACTAAATGAGGTCTGCACATGTCTTTGAGGTCTCCAGTCCCTCCCTGCTCACATGTTAGCTTCCCTTTTTTTCTTATGACAAATATCCTGTTGGTTGTTTCTTCATCATGTTCTCCATGAAACAAACTGCCAGTGACTTCTTTCCGTGACTTTCCCTATGTTTGCTTGTTTTCCTGGAAGTGCCTCCAGACCCGGCTCTCTGTGCCCCACTGCATTGGTGTTGACAGATCTCCCTTCTGCAGCCTGTCAGACTTGGCCTTCTAGATACCTGCTACTGTCTGGGTCTAGGCTAATTTTTATCTCCTCTTGCCTTGGTCCCTGGTGCCATCCCTGATTCTCATCATCTCTCTTCTTGCCACCCATCCTTCAGCGACATGATCCACCTGCTATGCTCTGGGGAAGGACCCAACTCAACTCCTTTCCTGTTTCAGAGTTCTGCCTTTTAGTATACAGAGTTCCTTGAGTTCAGTCCCCACCTTCACAGTAGCACATAGCAGCCTGTATTCTCAGTGTCTAGTACCATGCCCTCAGGAATGGGAGCTCTTCAGGCACTCACTGTGATGAAGCCAAGCGTGGACTTGGCTTGCAGAAGGAGCCTGAGATATGCACAATGACCAGAACAGTTCCAGGAAAATCTCTCTTGAAATGGACCCGGGACTTGAAAGCTAAGGTGTTAAGTCTTTGGGAAGTGTCTGGGCATCTAAGGGTGGCGGGCCGTCCCGTCGGGGCTCGAGGTGCTGTCCCCGGGGGTGTGGGGGGGGGGGTGTGAGAGGAAGGAGGATATCTCCTCTCTCCCGCTCGACTCTGTTGAAGAGACAAGCTGTCTATTGGAGTCCCTGCCTGCAGTTATCTCATCTAGGACTGTCTGCTCAGTGCCTGAACGTGCTGTCAAGAATCTTGCTCTTTGCCTGGTTTTCCTTTGCTCTGCTGTTTACCTCATCATCTCCCACTCCATGATCTTTTTCAAACCCTCCTCCCCTCGGTGTAAGTCCCTCCTCCGTCCGTGTTCTTTCCTTCCTGGAGATGTGAATGTGTTGAGTCACTGTCCTGTCTTTTTGCTGTTACTGAGCTGAGAGGCACACATTTGCCCTACTCAGCACTGGGCACACAGTAGGAATATTTGTGGTCCAGTGAGATCAGCGAACAGTGTAGAGTGGCTGGGGTTGTTCGTGTCCTTTTTACCTCTGGCCTGTGTTTTCTGTGCATCGGGTTATATACTGCTCCCAGAATGGCCATGGCTTGAATGCCCTGGGCAGAGACAGTTTGGAGACTGCCCATGTCACCTGTTTAAGTAGTTGAGTAGTTCTTATAGGGTCTGGAAAACAAAAGCAGAAATGAGGAAAATTGGAGTTCAAGACCTAGAGGCAGGAGAGGGAAACAAAGACCTGAAAGGAAGTCTGATGAGGAGGTTGGATCGAGGAACACCTTCTAAGGAGACAGGTTGTCCTGTCTTGGAAGGCTTGAAGGCCCCACTGCAGGCAGGGACTGACTGACCCTGGACTGGCCTCTAAGGTAGCTGAGAGGTAGTCCCCTTATGTTTGGAGTGCCTGGAACTTAGGGTGTGGGACAGAGATGCCCGAGTCTCTAGCAAAGCTTTCATTGGCCCATCTGCTTCTTTTCCATGTGATTGTTTTGCCAGAGGTCACAAGCTAGAGAATGCTAGGGAACAAAGGCTGCTTTCACAGCAAACCAGGACCCTCATGACCACAAGGACTACTCCAGGCGGAAGTAGACTAGGAGGTTGGGGTGAGGCTCTGCTAGTGGAAAGAGAAGTGGCTGTAGTGGTGGTTATTCTCCCAGGGGGCTCCTGCTTGACTGCATGCCTTCAGTTCCTCTAGTGGTGGTAATTGGGGAGCCTTCCCAATGTGCAAAAAAGCTCCCCAGGCAACTTCCATGCTGCCCAGAGCTCACTTCATCTCTCCCCCCCCCCACAGCCATGGGAGCCGCCTATGGCACAGCCAAGAGTGGCACTGGCATCGCAGCTATGTCGGTCATGAGGCCAGAGATGATCATGAAGTCCATCATCCCAGTGGTTATGGCTGGGATCATCGCCATCTATGGCCTGGTGGTGGCAGTACTTATCGCTAATTCCCTGACCGATGGCATCACCCTCTACAGGTGAGTGCTGGACCTGTACTTGTCAGGTGAAGTGCATCATTTGCCTGCGGGCAGGCAGATTGCTGACAGCCTGTATCTCTTCTCTTCCCAGGAGTTTTCTTCAGCTGGGTGCTGGCCTGAGCGTGGGGCTGAGTGGTCTGGCTGCTGGCTTTGCCATTGGCATCGTGGGGGATGCTGGTGTTCGGGGCACTGCCCAGCAGCCACGACTGTTCGTGGGCATGATCCTGATCCTCATCTTCGCGGAGGTGCTTGGCCTCTACGGTCTCATCGTGGCCCTAATCCTCTCCACAAAGTAGCCGTTTTCCACCACCAGTCACAGGATAGGATGTAAAGACCACCCCTCCTCATTCCAGAACGAACAGCCTGACACACACGCACGGGCAGCTGCCCCCTCAGTAGTTGGTCTTGTAAATGCGCAGTGTCCTAGTGCCCATTGTCTGTTGCCCCCGCCTGGCCCCTGCTGCCCCGTGCTGTGGACATCTGGGCCCACTCATCTCCCATCCAGGCCCCTGACCAGTGAGGATGTCAGCCTCTGGCTACCCCACCCATTGCCCTAGAGTGCTCTGTGTATAAGGATGAATTAGAGTTGTCATTTTTCTCTTCACTGGATGTTTATTTATAAAAGATTTGACCTATTCATGCGTCTGTGGAGCAGCCCTGTCTCCCAACTATATAGTAATCATTAGTAAAGTGTTGCCTGTGGGGTTCCTGTTGCTGAGACTCCTTGGATGGAGCCACCCTCCCCCCAACCCTGGACAGCCAGGGTAGAGGGTAGCGTGTACAGCGCGCCAGGGCTGGCTCTCAGCTGTGTCCAATAAAAGTTCTCGGATGTGACTGGCTTGTGTTCTGGCGCTTCTGTGGGTTGAGCGGGCGGGTCTTCCGGGTCACGTGGCCTGGTCACGTGGAGCCGAAGTCCACGTGATAACCCTTCAGCTGAGAGTCACGTGGTGTGGCCTGCGCCTGCTTCCTATTACGGGTGCTCCGGGCACTGCCGGTTTGCGCCCAAAGCTTGCTGAGGTCGGCGCGACTCACGATGCGTAGCGGGCAGCCTGCGGCGGGGGCCCCGGTGCGCCAGTTCACCAACTGCCGCATCCTGCGCGGCGGCACGCTGCTCAGGTCTGGGCTGCATAGTGCGGGGTTCGGCCTGGTGTAGGAGTGGTGATACTGCAGTGTGGGGTTCAGGGATGGGGCGAGTGTAGGACCTATGCCGTAAAAGCGGCGGGGCTGGGTCGGGTGTGGGAATCCAAGAATGTGGAGGGCAGGACTGTCCTGGGTGTGTGAATGTGGAGGGCAGGACTGTCCTGGGTGTGTGGCTGGGAACCGAGTAGAATAGTGGGTGCAGGGACAAGCCGGGAGCAAGATAGAACTAGGGCATGGTTCCAGGGCCTGGTGGTGACCAAAGTGCCGACTGCTCTGCCCTCAGGGAGGATCTGTGGGTGCGCGGGGGCCGCATCCTGGACCCAGAGAAGCTGTTTTTTGAGGAGAGGCGCGTGGCTGATGAGCAGCTGGACTGCGGAGGCCGCATCCTGGCGCCCGGCTTTATCGATGTGCAGATGAACGGTGCGGCCTGGCTTGGGCCAGGGAATCCAGGGGAGGAGCTCTGAGCACTGTGCTACCCCTTGTTTTCTGTGGCCACAGGTGGATTTGGTGTTGACTTCTCCAAAACCACGGAGGATGTGGGTTCTGGGGTCGCCCTAGTGGCCCGGAGGATCCTGTCCCATGGTGTCACCTCCTTCTGTCCCACCCTGGTCACTTCCCCACCAGAGATTTATCACAAGGTGAGATGAGGCTGTTTTACCCCTGAGCAAAGGGACCCCTTCCCCCCAGGGGTAGTAGCCTTTTCTTTTTGTTTTTGTTTTTTTCCCCAGAGCCAGGGTTTCTCTGTGCAACAGTCCTAGCTGACTAGTAGACCAGGCCGGCCTCAAATTCCCAGAGATTCACCTGCCTTTGCCTCCCAAGTGCTGGGATTAAAGGCATGCACCACCACAGCCCGGTCAGTAGCGTTTTCTTAACCTGAATGAGGCCTCCATCCACTTGGTTGTGAGGGGATGCTTCTCGCTCTTGTTCAGTTGTGCCCTTCCTGGTCTCTGCAGCTGTGGACATTTTCTGTCACTGTCACCATTCTAATCTGCCACACCCAGCGCCCTGTAGGCAGCTTCTGGGCCTCGGGAATTTAACCTGCTCTATTACGTGACTCACCTGAAGAAGCCTTTCAGAGAGAGCTGCTCTTCTCGCCACTGCCCTGCATCCCTCACCCTTCCACCCTCTCTCTAGAGGGAGGTCTGTTGTCATGGATCCCATTTTCGTGAGAAGGCTTTGCCACAGGTTTCCCAGTTTGAGCTCAGCTTGCTTGGGTGGCTGTCTTCAGCACATTCAAGAGCAGTTCGTGTGTATTCTGCCCTCTATCTCTCAGTCCTGAATTCTTGCTTAAAAGTATGGTATTCTCTTATGCAGTGTAGTGCAGTTGATGAGGTTAGTAAACTGTTACCTGTACTTGAATGGGTTCTTCCTGTTCCTGCTGTCAGTTCCCTCAGCCAGTTTTTCTCCCACTGCAGGATCCCTAATGGGATCGGAAAGTGTATGACTGTCTCTAGTTCCCTTTTTGGGTGTGTAGACTCAGAATCAGAGTAGGAGGCCATGGGCATTGAGTGTGGGCTGTGCCCTTGCTCCCATAGGCTTGGCTCTGGCCTCTTGACTTGCCACCCTTGGGAGACTTGGGACAACTTTACTCACTTTCGAGTCTCAATTTCATTAAACCTAGAGTGAGAACAGTTAGTGGGCACTTAACACATATTAAACATTTCTTGAATGTTAACTAGAGATGTCTTTCTGGAAGTTTCCCACAGCTCTCCCACCCCACCCTCAAAAGTGCAGCCTCACAGCAGATAGGTACTTGGTCCTCTCTTCTGATCTCACAGACTCTGGGTCTTGCTAGAGTAACCTTTAAGGTGACAGGTATCAGGACGTACCCCCTTCTTACCACATTCCCTTCCCACTAGTTAAGATGCTTCTCTCTCCCTGAGGCACATTCCAACAGCTCCAGGTCTCCCCTCTCCTCCCAGGCTCATCCAGGAAGGCCTTGTTCTCCCGTTAGCCCTTCCCCCATGCTCCCTCACCCCTCCCAGCTTCCCTCTTGCTGCAGGTGTGACTGGCAAGGTGCAAGGTGCAAGGCCGGCTCTCCCTCAGGTGGAGTGGAGGCTAACATTCCTGAAGTTTTCTTTCTGGCTCCTCATTGTAGTCTAAGCACCGAATAGACCCGCAGAAAACCTTGGGAAGCAGGTGGGAAACAATGGCAGAGTGGGCAGCTCTGAGTATAACCCATAATACCCCATTGTATTTGAAACGCAGAGACTCTGCCCTCAAACCTCTGCCCCTCCTATGATCCCTGACTTCTAGGGTCCCTTCTCGCTGAGGAGCTTCTCCAGTCGTCCAGGTACTACTCAGGTACCTTCATCAAGTCTGGTTCATCGGGACCACTCTTTCTGAGACTCACTCTCCTAGTTGGACTTCAAGAAGGCAGCTCTGCTGGATTGTTTTCTGCTTCAAATCTGATAGCTCTTGTTTATCCTGTTCTCTCTGCTGTGTGCTCTCACTTTGTCCTTCGAAGTGCTTTTCTAGAAAATAGTGGGTGTGTGGACGTGCGCGTGCACTCATGCCCTCCACGGTCTCCTGGGACTGAACTCGGTCATCGGGTAGCTCGGCAGCAAGTGCCTTTGCCCACTGAGCCATTTCACTTTTTTTTTTTTTTGTCAAGGACTTAATGTATCCTAGATTGACTTCACTTTGTAGTTGAGGCTGGCCTTGACCTGCTGTCGCAGCCCCCACATACTATCGTGCCTAGCTCTGCTTGTTTAAGCTGCTAAGTTACCTGTAGGTAGTGGCGGTGGCAGCTGCTGCTGCTTCTTGGAAGATTTATCACTTTGAGTTATGTATAGATGCATATGTCTGCACATGAGCATGTACGTGTGAGTGCAGGTGCCCTCAGAGGTGTCTGGTTCCCCTGAAGCTGGAGTTGTCCAACCACCCGATGTGGGTACTGAACTGAACCCAGCCCTCTGCTGCCAAGTACCAAACGCTCTTCAGCACTGCGCCTCTGTCTCTCTAGCCCTGCCTTTATTCTCATTTGTTTGTTCTGGCTGTCCTTGACCTCCAGTTAGCTCAGGCTAGCCTGGAACCCAGAGATCAGCTGGCTTCTGTCTCCTAGTGGGGATTAAAGGCTGCACCACCATTGCTAGCTATGCCTTTATTCTCCCGATCCATGTTTTGGTTAGAGGTGAAGGAGGAATATTTGTGTTTGGGACTGGCAGACATGAAAGTATACTTGCTCTTGCAGAGGATTCAGGTTTGGTTTCTAGCACCCACATCATGTGACTCATAATTGCCTGCAGTTTCAGTTCCAGGGGATTTGTCCCTCCTTCTGGCCTCTACAGGTTCCAGGAGGGTACACATGTGTTTTACAAACAAATATGCAGGCACTTATAAAATAAACCATGTCTGTGGTGCTGAGGATTGGTCCCAGGACTTTGTACATGCTAAGCAAAGTTAGTGCGCTACATTGCGAAGCCCAGAACTACTGGGATGTCCCAGCTGCACTTTATTTACCCCCCCCCCCTTTTTTTTTGATGGAGGGTTTTACTGTGTTGTATACTGGTCTCAAACTCCTGGGCTCAAGTGATCTCCTGAGCATGGGGACAGCAGATAGTTACCACTGTGCACAGCGTCTCCAATGTCTACTGTCTTGTTGTGAGCCATTTTGTTTTTTTAAGACAGGGTCTCTAGCTGGGTGGTGGTGGCTCACACCTTTCATCCCAGCACTCGGGAGGCAGAGGCAGGAGGATCTCTGAGAGTTCGAGGCCAGCCTGGTCTACAAGAGCGAGTTCCAGGACAGGTTCCAAAGCTACAGAGAAACCCTGTCTCAAAATACCAGAAAAAAAAAAAAAAAAGACAGGGACTCTGTGTGGGCCTGTTTGTCCTGGCACACTCGTAAGACAAGGCTGTCCTTGAACTCAGAGTGTTACACTATGCCTGGCCTGTGTCTGCTGTCTTTAGGCTTCTCATGTTGTAGCTAAGAAGTAGGAAGCCATCTGCTTGTTCCTTGATCCTTTGTGGGAACTACTTTCTCTCACCCTTTCATCTTGGCACCACTTTCTAGATGTTTCCTCAGCTTCTGTCTTAGAACTCATCCCATGGGATTCTTGCATACCTTTGAGTTTGGAGGAGCAATTTATTGCTCTGACATCTTGTCTGGCTTCATGGCTATAAACCCTCATTGCCTGAGGGTATTAATGTTGGCTTTTTTTCTGTGTCCTCTCTTGGCATCTTCTCTTTGCTGGCATGGTCATCTTGTTAGTGTTCCTTCCTCTGCTTCTTGGGGAACTCAGTGTAGGCTGTTTAGTGGCTGGCACTAGCAGGCCACAAGGAATACCTACCCTTCAAGGGAAGCTTTGTGGGTTACCCCTGGTTTTGCTGCCAAGGTTCTGTCTCTGGGACTTGGGACTTGTGTGATCCCCTGGGAAGAGTCTTGTTTTCTTCAGAGGGAGCATTTTTATTTTTATTTATTTTTATTTTTTTTGGAGACAGGGTTTCTCAGAGCCTGTCTTGGAAACTAGCTCTTGTAGACCAGGCTGGCCTTGAACTCACAAGAGATCTGCCTGCCTTTGCCTCCCGAGTGATGGGATTAAAGGCCAGAAGAAGCTATTAAGAGACCCTTTAGGACATAAACTTCTCAATATTTGTATTCTGCCTCTACTGAGGCCCCCTTTCCAGTCCTGCCCCCAGCCTGTTTCTCATAGTGCTAGGTTCTGTGAGGCCTGAGTTTCCTGAGTCCCTCTCCAATGGAGATGTGTCCAGAGTCCGCCTGTTTGCTCCTCAGAGTCTGACTGACTGCCTTTCTCTCATTCTTTGTCCTCAGATTTCTAAGCATGGGTTTGGTTTTGGTTAATTTGAGACGGGGTATCATGTATCCTAGGCTGGTCTTGAATTTATTATGTAGCTGAGGCTGGCCTGCTTTCCTGCCAAGTGCTTGGGGTTGTAGGCACGCACTGCCATACTCAGCTGAAGGGTCTTAACTGCCCTTTGTTTTGGGAGTGAGTAATCCCAAGGGAGGGTATTACTGTTTGTCTGGGGGCTTCCATAGCTGAAGGGTCTGGAGGGAGAGTTGTGGCTATACTTGGTCTCTTTCCCGAGGCTGTGAACTTCCTAATCAGAATGGCTGAGCCCTGTCCCCACCTGCACGGAGTCCCCAGCCTCCAGCCCTCTGCTTCTGCCCTGCCTTCCTCCTGCTACCTCCAACCTGCTTCCTTGTCCTGCAGCTTAGGGAGGCTGCAGTCATTTTTTCAGGGCTTTGACTATTCTATCCGGGCTGTTTGGCAGAAGCACTTTGAAGGCCAGAGCAGGTTGGAGCAGCCCTTGGTGCCTCCATCAGGCTTCTGTGGCCTGGGGATGCTTTCGCCTCCTGGTCCTCAGGGTAGTTTAGCAAGTGTTCCCTGTTGCCATTTCTTCCTGCTTTGACCACTGGGGTGGGAAGGACAGTAGGGCTGGGCTGGGCTGGGCCAGAGTCTTAAACCTCACCTGAAGATCTGACCTTGGTTGGACCTGACCTCTGGGTGCTGAGCAGTGTGGAGGTGGGGGGCAGGGCTTTAACAGCTGGTTCCCCCTAGGTCCTTCCTCAGATTCCTGTGAAGAGTGGAGGTCCCCATGGGGCAGGGGTCCTCGGTGAGTGGTTAACTTCTTCCAAAATGCCCAGTGGGGAAGGGAGGGCAGATCAAGGGACTGGGGTGGGACTGCTAGGTGGAAATGCCTTCTAGAACCACCCTTGTCCTTCCTCTCAGGGGTGCACTTGGAGGGCCCATTCATCAGCCGAGAGAAGCGGGGTGCACACCCTGAGGCCTACCTCCGCTCCTTTGAAGACAATGCTTTTCATGATGTGCTGGCCACATATGGGTCCCTGGACAATGTCCGCATTGTGACACTTGCCCCTGAGTTAGAGCGGAGCCATGAAGTGATCCAGGCATTGACAACCCAAGGCATCCGTGTGTCTCTAGGTGAGAGGCCACCCGTCAGGGTTGCCTGCTCAGGGTTCTCAACTGCTGCAGAAGCTTACCTTGGGTCCTCCATGCAGGGCATTCAGTGGCTGACCTGGGGGCTGCGGAAGTAGCAGTGCAGAGTGGAGCCACCTTTATCACCCACCTTTTCAATGCCATGTTGCCCGTGAGTGTCACCCCTGCTCCTGGGTGGATGGGGACTCAGGGGCCAGTACTGTCACTCAGTTACATTCCCTCTTACCCTGCCTAGTTCCACCACCGTGACCCAGGCATAGTAGGACTTCTCACCAGTGACAAGCTTCCCCCAGGCCACTGCATCTTCTATGGGATGATTGCTGATGGCATACACACTAACCCCGCAGCTCTGCGCATTGCTCATCGGGCCCATCCCCAGGGTGAGTAGCTGGGCAGGGTAGAGACAAGTAGGATAACAGCTGGCCAGGTCCTGAGCCGCTTCCTCCCCCAGGACTGGTGCTGGTCACGGATGCTGTCCCTGCCCTGGGCTTGGGCAATGGCCGCCATACGCTGGGACAGCAGGAGGTGGAGGTAGATGGACTCATAGCCTACATTGCAGGTGAGTGACTCCTGTACCCACATATGTGTGGTCTCAGCTTTTCCCTCGGGTACGCCCTGTTCATTTACTCACTGGGTTACCAGGCCCATAGAAACCCTCTCCTCCAATCCTGGCCTTTCTGCTCTCAAGGCACCAAGACTCTGTGCGGCAGCATAGCCCCCATGGATGTGTGCATCCGGCATTTCTTGCAGGCCACAGGTCAGTGGGCTGGTGTTCCTAGGTGTCTGAGGGCGGAGACTGTAACTGGGGAAAGCTAGAAGGAAGCTAGAGAAATTGGACTTCTTTGCTGACTTCCTCTAACTACCTGTAAACTGGGAGATGGGGAGCTGTGACTTCTGGCAGATGGAAATGATCATGGCCATTCCCAGCTAGAGCTCAGCTATGGAAGAATGCTAACAGCTAGTCACTAGAGCAGGATGATGGAAGAGCAGGGTCGCATTGCTCATAGAAGGGCCAAGGCCTAGACACATGGGATAGTGGGAATTTGCAGGGGCAGTATCCATGGGCAGAGTAAAGTGGCATTCTGGGGCTTAGAGCTGGTTCTGCTCTACACCTGTCAGCATCTCAAGGTTGAGTGTCATTCTGAGTGCGGGCAATGCTAGCGCAAATGGGCTGGGCATGGCCTGGGACACAGGAAATAACTACCCTGGCAAGAAGTGGTACCGTAAAGTGAGTGTGGTCACTGGGCCTCAAGTTAGGCCCTGCTCAGAGTACAGGGTTCCAGTTGACAGCTGGATTGGTAACATGGTGGCCCAGGTATGACTTCTTTGTCAGAAGTAGGCAGGAGGGTCTATGACCATACAACACTGAACACACTCTAATGTCCCCTGTCTGTTGAGAGAATGGGCTCCCTGTAGAACTTGGAAGAAAGTGGTAAGTGGCGTCTCCCAAAGCTAGGGGAGTGAGGGTCCTCCCCAAGCTGCTGCCTGCGGAGTCCAAGCTCACCACAGTGTGTTCCTGAGCAGGCTGTAGTGTGGAGTCGGCTCTGGAAGCTGCGTCCCTCCACCCTGCCCAGCTGCTAGGGCTGGAGAAGACCAAGGGGAGCCTGGACTTCGGTGCTGATGCAGGTGAGGCCCCTTGGAGGGGTTGAGTCGGCTCAAGGGGGTGGGTCTTCTCTGCCCCTGCCCTTGGGGCCATTCCCACCATAGACTCCTATCTTTATCTCCTCAGCTCACCTGTGGAGGTCAGAGGACAACTTGCTGTAGTTGGTTCTCTCCTTCTACCCTGTGAGTCCCAGTCAAACTCAGTCAGGCTTGGTGGCAAGCGCCTTTACCCCCTCAGCCTTCTCCTGGTTGGTCCTTGTTTGTTTATTTGTTTTGTTTTGTCTTGAGACACGGGGTCTTACTATGTAGCACTGACTGGCCTGGAAGCCACTATGCAGGCCAGGCTGGTTTCTAATTCATGGCAATCAAGCCAGGCAGTGGTGTGGCGCACACCTTTAATCCCAGCACTCGGGAGGCAGAGGCAGGCCGATCTCTGTGAGTTCAAGGCCAGCCTGGTCTACAAGAGCTAGTTCCAGGACAACTAGGACTTTAACATAGAGAAACCCTGTCTCAAAAAGGGCAAACAAACAAAAATTTCATGGTAATCCTCCTGTCTCAGTCTCTTGAGTTCTCAGATTATTGGCATGTGCTATCACCCATTGGCTTCTGGCATCTAAGATCAGACCAGGTAAGGGTTACAGGGATCACTTGTGCCCAACTGTGTGGAGTTGATGCTCTTGCTTCCAGCTCCTCTACCAGTCCAAATCATGTTCTTGGGCTTCATTTTTCCCTCAGAGCTCAGTTATAAGAAATGACTCAGTGTCTCCACAATGGGATATGGATGGCCCCACTGTGTCTCCTCTCACCTTCTGCTTCTGCCGCAGACTTTGTGGTGCTCGACGACACCCTCCATGTCCAAGCCACGTACATCTCGGGTGAACTGGTGTGGCAGGCAGAGGAAGCTGGGCTGTGACTGAGGATCTTGACTGGAGAGGACACTTGGCTCCAGCTGGACACTGACAGGCCAGGCAGTCCAGGGAGCTGGTCTCCAGGGAGCAAGCTGGGAGCCTTGCCCCAGGTCTCACACACAACCTCATCACTCCACTGAAGGGGAGGAGTAGGAGGCGTAAATACAGACAACAGGACTTGCCTTATTGGAGTTGTTTTCTGAGTTGTTTATATTCTGCAGAGCTGCTGGTGTTCACTGTTACCCTGGGGCCTTATGGGACCAGGAAGGGTTGGATATACCATACAGGACCTCCTCTGTAGGCCAGATCTGTTTTGAGGCCTGCAGACCCCCAGGAAGATGTTTGGGTGGGAAGTAAGTGGGATGAGCTTGGAGGGAAGCCACTGGGAGAGGCTGGAGACAGTAATCGTGGATGGCTGACCCTGAGCTAGATGGGCAAAATGGAAGCCGTAGCTCCAGACTCTCTGTGGCAATATTCAGGAGAGTGTCCATATGCTGGCCTCAGGACCTGGGGTTACTTAGCAATGAATGCAGGAATAGGTGCCTTAAGGGCCTCCAGTTTGAGCCTAGGACTCCTCCCACTGCTCCCTAACCTGCCAGACCTGCCTAGCACCTTCTTGGATAATCAAAAGTTCCATTCCCTGTGGTGTCTTCTTTCAAAGACCCCAAGGGCTGAGAAATCCCCCTTATTCCCATGATTGGTGGCTGTGGTATGCCCTGCCTGCTCTGCTAGTACCTGTGCAGGGTATCTGGACCCTAGACTGCCTTCCTCTCACGTGGGAAATGTGGTGCCGCAGGCTCCCTGGAAACATCATTGCACGGCCTTTGGGAATTCCTCTGACTTTAAGGATGGCTGTGATTGATGTAGGCAGATGTGCCTGAGGTTGGAGGTCAGGTCTTGGAATGCCTCCACTTTGCATTTGTTTCCTGGAGTTGTTGCCCCCACCCTGTCATTTATATACTTGGTATATAAAGGTATATAAAGTATTTCTTTATAAGCCACCTTTTTATACCAGGTCAAAGTTTGAGAAATATTTAAAGAAAGAGAGAAAAAAGTAGGCAAACAAAATAAATCACTTTTAATAGCTACTGAGCAGGGCCACACCCCACTTGTCGCTTGGGACACTGTCAACACAAGAAAGCCATCTTGAGGGATCCCAGACTCAGTGGGGAGAATATAATCTGCCCCATTGCCACACCCCTCCACGTGAGCGTGAGTCACGTGGGGCCAGTCCCTCAGGACTCACCAGCCTATGGAAACCTCCTCTGCTGGGGGAAGGCCTCACTCCCAAACTCTCGTGAATGTTGACTCATTCCACCCATCTTCCGGAAACCCAATGGTTGGCCTACCTGTCTGTCACCTCATTTCTCAGATGAGGGGACTGGGCACTGCGTTCTGCTGCTGGACAGTTCTGGTGACCAGGACTCAGCCTGGAGTCGAAAGGTGCATTCATAGTAGCGAGCTTACCTTCCGTGCATATAAGGCCCTGGGTTCTGTTTCCAGTACAGAACTGACCCTGACCTGCCCGGATCCAGTTTCACTGGATTCGTGCTACTGCTCTGGGTGGAACTGTGGGGGCGGTCAGATGAGTGAGCTGTGTTTTTGGGGCTACCCAGAAATGATGGGAACTAGCACTGGGAAGGTTTTGAGGTAGACAGAACTGCCTCAACAATGGACAGGGAGGGGCGAGCAGGTTTACGTGTTGAACACAGCCAGGGGAGGACTCTGTCTCTGAAACTGCTGTAGGGATTTGGTTTTATTAGTTTTTTGGTTTTTTTTTGGGGGGGGGGGATGTCAGTTAAAGACAGGGTTTCTTTGTCCTGGAACTCAGTTTGTAGACCAGGCTGGCCTTGAACTCAAAGAGACTTCCTGCATGCACCACCACCACCTTGTTGAATTATTATTTTTATTAAAAAAAAAAAAACCAACAGGGCTGGAGAGATGGCTCAGTGTTTAAGAGCACTTACTGTTCTTCCAGAGAACCTGTGTTCAAGCCCCAGCACCTACGTTAGATGACTTACAACCACTGTGACTAGACTAGCTTCAGGGGGATCCGACTCTCTGGTCTGTGAGAGCACCCTGGACATCCCTTCACACAGACATGCACACACACATAATTAAAAATAACAAAAGCTTTTTTTTTTTTTTTTTGGTTTTTCATGACAGAGTTTCTCTGTGTAACAGTCCTGGCTGTCCTGGAACTTGTAGACCAGGCTGACCTCGAACTGAGAGTTAAGCATGCACTACCACTGTCTGGCTAAAAGCAAACCTAAAATGGGTGGTGGTGACGTACCCCTTTAATCCCAGCACTTGGGAGGCAGGGGCAGGAGAATGGCTATATGTTCAATAGTAAATAGTAAAAACAAATCTTTAAAAAGTATAAAATTGTTCAGCATAGTTTTGCATGCTTGTAATCCCCTGGAAAGTAGAGGCGGGAGGACCAAGAGTTCAAGATCCTCCTTGGTTGTATATCAAGTAGGAGGCCAGCCTAGGCTGCATGATGTCAGCAAACTGGGGAGGAGTCTCTTGTAGCCAAGGCTAGCTAGCTTCCAATTTTTGTGTAGTTGAGGAGAACCTGGTCCTCCTCTCTTCACCTTCTGAGGGCTGGATTTACAGCTCTGCACCACATCTAATGTCCTTGGTGCTGGAGGTTTGAGCCAACGCCTCACGCATAAGCAAGGACTCTCAACCGAGCTACCTCTCCAGACCCAAAATTTATGACTTCAGCCACTTAAAAAAAAATTAACATGGTTTTAATCCCAACACTTGGGAGGCAGAGGTAGTTTGATCACTGAGTTTGAGGCCAGCCTGGTCTACATAGTGAGTTCAAGGGCAGCCAGGGAGGGCTATGTAGAGAGACCTTATCTCAAATTACCTTATTTTTTATTTGTGTTCATTGTTCGTTTATGTGTATTCTGTCCAAAGCCAGAAGAGAACGTCAGAGCATGTGGGGGTGCTGAGAACTAAATTAGGTCCTCTTGATCACTGAGCTGTCTTGTCTCTCCAGCCCTTCACTGCTTAAAAGAGTTATCTGGGACTGGAGAGATGGCTCAGCGGTTAAGAGCATTGCCTGCTCTTCCAAAGGTCCTGAGTTCAATTCCCAACAACCACATGGTGGCTCACAACCATCTGTAATGAGGTCTGGCGCCTTCTTCTGGCCTGCAGGCATACACACAGACAGAATATTGTATACATAATATTTTTTTAGAAAAAGTTATCTTAGTTATGTACACGTGTGTGTGTGTGGAGGCTGGAAGCCTGGGACCTCTTGGGAGCTGTAGTTACAGGTGGCTGTGAGCTGCCCAGGACCTCCAGCCAACTTTAACCTCCATTTTTTTTTTTTAAAGATTTATTTAATTATGTTTTCAGCATTCTACTTGCATGTGTCCCTGCAGGCCAGAAGAGGGCACCAGATCTCATTACAGATGGTTGTGAGCCATCATGTGGTTGCTGAGGCTTGAACTCAGGACCTCTGGAAGAACAGTCAGTGCTCTTAACCTTTGAGCCATCTCTCCAGCCCTTAACCTCCATTCTTTTATTTACTTTAAGATTTTATTTCATAAAGATTTAGACTTAACAAAAAAAAAAGATTTTATTTCATGTGCATGGGTTGCCTGCCTTCATGTCTGTGCATCACGTAAAAAGTACAATGCCGGCGGGAAGGAATTGGATCCCCTTGTGAACTGGAGTTCACAGGGCTGTTAGCTGCTGTGTGGGTGATGGGAACTGAACCAGGGTCCTCTTACATTATCCGCTCTCAAGTGTACAGTTTAGTCTCTGTAAGCACACTCGTCATGCCGTCATAGCCCCCATTACCTCAGGAACTATTACTTTCCAGACATACCGTGCCGTTGGCATTAGTCTCCTACCACAACCACACGCTGCCCTGTCAATGGCTCAATGCTGGAGAGCTTTCACAGAAAGGTGTGCCGGTTACTTCAGTCTGGGGCACCGGTGTTGCCCCAGCTCTTGGTAACAGTGGCGCCGCATTAGGCATGCCTGTGGTGTGGGTGTGGACTGGGGGGGACAGCCACTCCCTGAGGTCAGTTGAGTCACAGTAGTGGTGGGTGGCTGAACAGGTAGTGCTCCTGAGACACCTGGCGGCGGAGGCGGCCTGTTTCACCCGGTGTGCCCGGGAGGCCAACGCTTGAGTACTGAGAAGCGCACGGGTACCATCTGGCGGCCAGCGCTGGGCAGCAGCCTGCGGGATTCAGCGGAACTCGGGTTCGAGCCCCGAGCCGGATGACCTGAGTCCTTTTGCCTCCGCTGTTTCGGCAAGACCAAGCTCTCGGAAAGAGGGGTCGACCGTAAAAGAGATAACCCCTAGCTTGGAGTCGGGTGGCAGGCACCAACAGGCTAGAGGAGTGGCTAGACTCAGCCGGTGGGTGCTGCAGGGAGCCGCGACGGTCACGCCCGCCGCTGTAGGGTTTGTTTTATGAGGGCAACGTCCTCCGCAGGTAGCTTTTGTAAGGAGTACAACGAACGGCTTCAGGCGAACCTGCCTTTCCTCTGTTTTCGCAGCCAGGGTGTCTCGCTTGTTTTATTGAGCCAGATTACACCTTTCCTTTAGTCCGTTGTCAAATTGAAGTGGAGAGTTTTCCAGGTAAGACGCCTGCCTTGTCCGAGGAGAGGCAGCTGGTCCGGCAGGCGAATACGTTGTAGGGGTCGTCCACATGGGAGGAGCTGAGGTCTGCAGCCCACTGAGGTAGCAGCCCCACACAAGCTTTCAGACCTCTCAACTATGGCTGTGGGTTTTGTTTTGTTTTGTTTTGTTGGTCAGACAAAGCCTAGCTTCAAGCTTGATGTGTGTTGGAGGTTGGTCTTGAACCCTGATCCTCCTGCTTCTACCTCACAAGTGGTGGGATTAAAGACACAGGCGGTCACACAGAGTTCCAGCAGCATCAGGAGAAACCAGAGCCTAAACGAAGGTCTAGGCCACTTCTGGGCTCCTAACTCCAAAACATGAGGTTGTTTTGGGACGTGTTACACAGCATAAAGTGTATAACTGTCCAGATGGGGCGTGTGGGTCAGTTTCTAGCCTCCATTTCCTCATTTACATCATGAGGACTGGTGAAGAGAGAAACAGCATGAGCCATGTGCACACCAGACACTTCCCAGCCCCTTCTAAGATGGTTCCCATCATCCTCCTGCCCTCCATGACCTCATAATGTCACCCCAAGCCACTACATGTGTGGCTCAGGGGTACTCTGCAGATAAGAGATTCTGGGCACAGAAGGGACAGCCAGTCCCTCTTCTTTACTTTGGGTACCAACGAACAGCACCAGATCAGGTAAGAGCATTTCCCCTCCTGGCTTGGGTCTTGCCTGTTGGCTACCGTGAAGGTCTTAGAGACAGAACTGTCCTCCAGCTTCCTGCTGCCTCCTTTCCTTGTTCTTGTCACCTGCTGAGTTGCCTTTAAAACCTGTGTGTGTGTGTGTGTGTGTGTGTGTGTGTGTGTGTGTATGTGAGTGTGTGAGCGTGTGCATGTGTGTGCGCACAGGCGCGTGTGCAGGTGCCCTCATTAGCCAAAGGTGTCAGATCTCCCTGGAGCTAGAGTTACAGGCAGCTGTGAGCAGCCTGACGAGGGTACTTGTAGCAGGCTTTCTTGGACTATGCAGTTCCCCAAATCATGACATGAAAACTGATTGTTAACTATGAATACTTGGCCTTCGCTTAGGCTTGTTTCTACGTAGTCTGTTTTTAACTTAAATTAACCCATTTCTGTTATCTGTGTGCTGCCCCAAGGCTCATTACTTCATGTATGCACTGTCCATCCTGCTTTCCTGCTTCCTCTGTGTCTTGCTGGCTGGGCCCCGACTGGCTTGCTGGCTCCCCTTTATCTCTGCCCACCTGCCCTGCCTATCCCTCCTCTGCTTAACTATTGGCCATTCAGCTTTCTATTAGACCAATTAGGTGCCTTATACAGGCAAGGTAAAACAGCAACACCTTTACATAGTTAAACATTCCACAATCTAAATAAATGCAACACATCTTTACGTAGTTAAACAGGCACTGGGAACTAAACTTGGGTCTTCTGCAAGATCAGTATATGCTCTAAACTGCTGAGTCATCTCTCCAGCCCACCTTTTATTTTAACCAGCATACCACCATGCCCAAGATTTTTTTTTTTTTTTTTTTTTTTTTGGATTTTTCGAGGCAGGGTTTCTCCGCAGTTTTTTTTTTGGTTCCTGTCCTGGAACTAGCTCTTGTAGACCAGGCTGGCCTCGAACTCACAGAGATCCACCTGCCTCTGCTTCCCAAGTGCTGGGA